GTTACTTATTCTTCTCTCATACAATACATCCTAACCACAGTTTCCTCTCCCTCCACTCTTTCTGGTCCACCCCACCCCTGCCACAACCTCTCCTCTCCCTTAGATTCACTGCTCCTCTGTTTCCCTCAGGAAAGAGTGGGCCCCCCAGGGATACAACTGAACCTGGCATAACAGGCTACAATAAGACTATGCACAAACCCTCTTATCAGGGGCTGGGAGAAGCAACCCAGTAGGAGAAAAAGGGTCCCAAGAGCAGGCAAAAGAGTCAGAGACACTCCCACTGTTAGGACCCCCACAAAAACACCATGCTAACAACCACAACATACATGCATAGGGTTCTAGTACAGACCCATGAAGGCTCCATGATTTCCTTGTAGTCCCTGTGAGTCCCTATGAGCCCTTCTTAGTTGTTGTTGTGGGCCACAGTCTGCTGGTGTCCTCAACCCCTCTGCCTCCTACAATTTTTTCTCCCCCCTCTTCCAAGAGGGCTTAAGGGGAGGAACCCTGTGGAAATCTCCAATTTGGGCTCTCTTTCCATCTAAGTTTGGCTATGGGTCTCTGCATCTGGTCCCGTCATCTGCTGGAGGAAGTCTCCCTGATGATGATTGGCACCCATCTGTAAGTGTGGATTTTTTTTCTATCCTAGGTCTTTGGGCTACCCAGACTCCAGTTTCTGGTCATCCAGGCAGCATAGGGCATGAACTCCCTTTCCTGCCGTGGGCCTCAAATTAGACCAGTCATTGGTTGGCCACTCCCACAAGTTCTGAGCCACCATTGTCCCAGCACATCTTGCAGGTGGTACAGATTATAGGCCAAATGATTAAACAATTTTTTTAATCTTAAAAGGAAAGAGAGAGAGAGAGAAATTGAATTACTGGGCTGGCAAGATGGCTCAGTAGGCAAAGAAGCATGGTACTAAGTGTGACAACTTGAATTTAGTACCCAGGAGCCACAAGGTAGAAGGACAGAACTGCCTCTGGCAATTTGTCTTCTATCTCCACAAGAGAGGTGGCCTGAATCCCTAGACATCTGGTATTTGGCCATTTTATGGTGTCTCAGAGCCTCCCCCACCCCCAACTCGCATATGCAATATGCATAGCCCTCTCGGTCCATGGTGGTTATCCATATCCTCACTATGTTGTCCAGACACAAACTGGTCCTTATAGCCCTCTGTTCCCTACATCCTGTTCATGCTTATTCACATGTATGTATGTTCATGTGAGACCTTTGGGTCAGCTTCATGTATTGTTCCTCAGCACAGCTCTCCATACTGTTTTTTGAGACATTTTTGCAGCAGGATCTATGGCTTGCCGATTATGCTAAGTTGGCCCATCTTTGAGCTCCAGTGATCCTCCTGTCTCTGCTTCCCATTACTGGGATTACAATTCCTCACAGTGGCTTTTTACATGTACTCTGGGGACTCTGGGGACTCCAGGTCCTCACGCTTGGCTGACAAGCATTTTAAGGACTATACAGGTTTTAGAAAGATTTCTTTGTGCCAGGACTTTTCAGAACTGTTGCAATGTTTCTATTCATTGGTAATTCCTTCCTTCCTTCCTTCCTTCCTTCCTTCCTTCCTTCCTTCCTTC